AACAGAGTTTTGAGAAGCTCAAGAAGTGGCTGACCGAGGCACCGGTGCTGGTGCAGCCAGTGCTTGGTAAGGATTATACAGTTTTTAGTGATGCATCACACAATGGACTTGGTTGTGTGCTTATGCAGGAGGGTAAGGTAGTGGCATACGCCGCCCGACAGTTGAAACCTCACGAGGGTAACTACCCTACACATGATCTGGAGTTAGCAGCAGTGGTATTCACGTTAAAGATTTGGCGGCATTACTTATTTGGCATGACTACTTACATCTAGACAGACCACAAGAGCTTGAAGTACTTGCTAACCCAGAAAGAGTTGAATCTGAGACAATGAAGATGGTTGGAGTTGATCAAGGACTACGATTGCTATATTGACTATCATCCAGGCAAGGCCAATGTCGTGGCTGATGCCTTGAGTCGGAAGACTATGGCTGAACTACGAGTCTAGCCTACGGCCCAGGCTACGGATGACTTTTGTGGGAAGACTCGTGAGCTTGTCTCCGAGGGGGATAGATAAGACTTCATCATTGATGGCAATGGAGTGTTGCTCTATAGGGATCGCTTGGTGGTACTGAGCGATGAATTGAGAGAACGGCTGCTACGGGAAGCTCATGAAACTGTGTACACCATGCACCCTAACAGCAATAAGATGTACCAAGATCTCAAGAAAGCATACTGTTGGCCAACGATGAAGCGTGAAATTTTAGAGTTTACGGCTAAGTGCCTGACTTGTCAGCATGTTAAGGCAGAGCATCAAGTGCCGAGTGGGTTGCTAGACCCACCAATTATCCATGAATGGAAGTGAGAGAAGATCACGATGGACTTCGTGATAGGCTTACCCGTGTCGAACAAGAGGAACGATGCAGTATGGGTCATAGTGGACCGATTAACCAAGTCAGCTCACTTCCTCCCTATCTGACGAGACTTTTCCTTATAGAAGTTAGCTGAGCTTTATATTTGAGAAATTGTGAGACTACATGGAGTGCCTGTGTCCATCATCTCCGATCGCGACCCGCGATTCACATCGCAGTTCTGGAAGAGTCTTTTCAGAAGGCTCTTGGCACCAGGCTAAATTTCAGCACAACATAGAATATAGGTGAAAACCAATCTAAGGATATGACTTTATATACCTATATTCACAAGCTCAAAAGCACTCACAAAATATGTTTAAAACCATCCCATAAATATTTTCAAATATCTAAAAGGTTTTAAACTCAAACACGAAGGATTAAGGAAATTCTGAAAAACGCAAGACAGTGACACGGTACCCCAAACAGTACCTTTTACCGTTGGTACGGTACCCTATACCGTGGACACGGTATCCCCATACTGTTTGGATGCAGGTTCCGCCAGAGCTCAATGGATTTTTGGTGTTACATGGTACTGAGGTACCGCCACTCACGGTATCCCCTACCATACGAACGGTACCATGCTATCGTGAGGACGGTACCGGCCCATCGTGACCGTTGAGTTACTGTTCCTGATTTGTGATTTTGAATTAAATCAACCCTAATCACCTCTCAACGGCTAATTAACATCTTCCACTATAAATACAAGCCCAATCCTTCATAATTTTTCAAGAAACAAAGCTCCAAACATCATCCCTTTATATTCTAAGTGTGTTCATTCTTTTATTCATTATTTTCAATATTTTGGTTATTTCAAGAGCCTTAAATTCCTGATTTTTATACACACACTTTGAGCTTGTGTTTCTAGTTATATACTCTCACATTCCTAAGTTTATATTGTATTTTTGAGAGAGTATAATTTCCTTCTACATCGGCTAAGTTTTGTTTTTCATTTTAATATTCTAGCCATTGTGTAGAATCATTGTTTGTGTTCATCAAACACACTTTCTTACGGTCAAGAATAGCCGTTAAATTCTCACGTTGTAACGGTTAAGGATAGCCGTATAAATCATTGGTTAAATGTTCAAGGATAGCCTTTGAAATCCTTGGGGGGAATGGTAAAAGATAGCCGTTAAATCTTCGTTGTAAACGGTTCGAGATAGCCGTTGTAAAATCTCGGAGTGAATCCTATTGGAAAGGGTTGTTTGCCAAACTAGTGCGGTGCTTTGACAGAGTTCAAGAGACCGGAACTTAGTGGATTCGGAAATCCTTGAGGAGGAGCTTTGAGGTACTGGAGTAGGGAGTTCCCGAGCCAGTATAAAATCGGTGTGTCTTTTACTTAACACTTTTATTTCTGCGTTTTACTTATTGCTTCTGCATTTGCCAACGCTGTTTTTATCAAACTCCGAAAAGTTTTTAAACGCCTTATTCACCCGCTCTCTAAGGCGTGGGCACAACGTCTAAACCAACTAACACTATATTCTTTACCCCTAACATCTCATCCCCACTTCACACTATCATTTGCACCTCTCTCCATGTCCATGAGGTGGCTAACCTTGTCACCTACCTTGGCCTCCCTTCTCTTGTGGGGCGTAACAAAAAAAATCTTTGCAAACCTCAAGGTGAAGTTTAATGCAAAGGTCCTCAGCTAGAAAAACAAATTGCTTCCTCGAGCCAAAAATAAGTCCTCATCAAATCCGTTCTATCTTATATCCCCTCATGTGCCACGCGACTTTCATTATCCCCAAACCCTTATCGATGACCTCCACCGTACCCTATCTACCTTTTGGTGGTTGACATTTTGGTGGTTGACAGGGAAATCTTATGACAAATGGATACATTGGTGGCGATAGGAACACTTATGTGCCAACGAGCTCAACGGTGGACTTGGATTTTGGAAATTGCACCACTATAGTATTTTCCTTCTTGACAAAATGGCTTGGAAATTATTTCACCTCTCGAATGCCTTAGTGTCCCCAATCATCAAAGCTAAGTTTTATCCTAACACTTTTTTTGTTTGATTTTCCTCCGCACAAGTCTCCTAGCTACATTTAGTGAAGTATACGAGCTTCCATCCCCTTCCCCGCTTCGGAACCTCTTAGCGTATTGGAGATGGTCAATCCATTCAAGTTTGGACAGATTTCTGGTTGCTCCGCAATAAGTCCATGAAAATCCACTGCAAATGACTCTCATGCACGTACCAGATCTCCGTGTGGCCTCTCTAATTTCGAATGACTAATGGGACTTAGAAGCTCATTCTGCTACTTTTTGAAGAGGCTGACATCACGACAATTCTCCATTCCCCCCTCTTGGCAGAACCCATCCCAGACTTCCCTTAATAACATTTTTTACGAATGATCATTACTCAGTGAAGTCAAGTTAATTATCCCCCTCATCTAACTCTCAGCATCACCCTACCCCAATGAATATTTCACGCATGCGACCTGGAAAAAATTCTGGGAAGTCCCATTCTTACCGAGAAATACTAACACTGTTTGGCGAGCAACCCATAACATACTTTTAACACGTGATAAACATTTGGCTAAGAACATCAATGTGGACACAGTTTATCCACACTATAAGGCTACGTCAGAAACAACCCACCACTTGTTCATAACTTGCCCATTTGCTCACTCTGTTTGGCTCTCATCCCCCTTTCGATGGTTCGTTCCATCCAGAAGTTCCTTCTCGAAGCGGTTCTCTTGCATATCAGCACTCTTCAACAACCATGACGTCTCAGTGATCATCTCCATCATAACAGCTATCTGGAAATCCCGCAATGATGTGACATGGCGGCAACATCACTCCTCAACCACTAGTGTCTCACACTCTGCATGGTATTTTTAGACTGACAGATGGTCACCAACAGATCATCCAACCAGCGGACTCTTGGTTCTCGCACCTGGACTAACCCCCTTTCGATTGGGTTAAATTTAACGTTGATGCTTCAGCGAGTCTCCCGGGAAATCAAACAGGTACAAGATGAATTGTCCGCGACCACTACGGTTCATTCTGTGTTGTCAAAAACCCCACGGTTCCAGCTCTGCACTTGCTGCAGATAGCCGAAGCCCTCGCTATCAAGGAGGCCCTAAGTTGGCTAAAAGACAATTTGTGGCCCAAAGTTATTATTGAATCGTATTGCCTCACCGTTGTTGTTGCGCTTCAACAAACCTAAGTTGATGATATCTCCCCACTTTCTCATATCTTTCATGCTTGTAAATCTCTAGTTTCTTGTCTAGGGATTAAAATTTCATTTGTTTTTGTTTATTAGCTCAACAAACTTGGCTGCTCATATTTTAGCACAGGTAGCCCATTCTCTTCTGAGCACGGGTGTGTGGACTTGTTCCCCTTCACCCTTTGTACGTGACGATTCTATAAATGGTTAACCCTCTTGCTTGTTTTTCTAGAAAAAAAGAAAGAGAAAATCCATGTAAAGTTTGGTTGATTTTTTGTAGAATCCATATATGTAGAGTTTGAACAATTTGTAGAATCAATGTAGAGTTTAAAAAATATGTAGAATTCATGTAGAATTCAAACATCACTTCTCACTTCTACGAAGGAATTAATTGTAGATATACTGGCGTGAGAACATGTCCAAATATATCAAGCGCAACCATCTAGTGTATCTGACATTAACAACTCATTATTTCTCCATTTATTTTTTTTCTTATTAAAGAAGAAGAAAAAGAAGAAACTTGAAGCTAATAACGTTGCACATGGTTGTTGAGGTCTCTGCCATTGTTGGCACATCTATTTCTTCCGCCATGATAGGATGTCCGGATTCATCATCCCCTTCCCACTTCTCGGCAGAAAACAAAAACAGGAAGCAAAACCAGAGAGAATCACAGATGAGTGAATCTAAGTGCAAGGAAATCCGAAGATGCCCACGGAAGAGAGGAGACAATCAGACTTGGATTCTTAAATCTTTGGATGGGAGTAGGGATTTTTTTATAGACTTTTTATTATAATTTCTATCTTCAAATCCATTAAAATCCATGCAAAATACAAATCTTTAAAAATTCATGAAGTGTTGAATATCATTATATTTAGATAGAATATTTAAAATCTAAATTCAATACATTTTGATTTTAAATGACTTTTTAAAATTTGAATTAAATAACCTCGGATTTTAAATGATTTTTTAAAATCTGAATCTAATACTTTTAAAAACTCCATGTTCAATACACCCCTGAATCTCACTCACACCCAATTCAGGGTAATCTCCCCTCCTCTCTGGCCTTTATCTTGACTCCTTTTCTTCGTTATTTCTTCCGGCGTCCTACTCCTAACCGCGCAATCGTCGCCCCAATTCACTTGAATTTCGTCCAGCATTCGAAGGAAAGGAAGAAGCTTTTGATTTTTGATTGTTGATCATCAGAATCGGAGATGGCCTCGGCGGAGATTGCCCAGACGGACGTGGAGGGGATGGACGGAGTCCACATGACGTGGAACGCCTGGCCACGCACGAAGGTGGAGGCCAGCAAGTGCGTGATCCCAATTGCGGCTTCGATCCACCTAATTCGACCCAACCCGGAGCTCTTCACGCTCCCATACGCGCCACTCAGGTGCAAGGCGTGCACAGCCGTGCTCAACCCACACGCCCGGGTGGACGTCCAGGCTCCCTTATGGATCTGCCCTTTCTGCTTCCAACGCAACAGCTTTCCTGACCATTACTCAGCCATTTCCGAGACCAACACCCCTGCCGAGCTCTACCCCCAATTTAGCACCATTCAGTACATTCTCCCCCAGACCCCAAATCCCACTTCCCCTACAGGCTCGCATCCGGTTTTCCTATTCGTGCTTGATACATGCATGCTGGAGGAGGAGTTATGTTTTGCAAAGTCGGCCTTGAAACGTGCAATTGGATTGCTTCCCGACAATGCCATGGTGGGGTTCATATCTTTCGGGACACAGGTGCAGGTGCATGAGCTTGGCTTCTCAGATATGTCAAAGGTTTACGTCTTCCGGGGTTCCAAGGAACTGACAAAAGATCAGGTTTTGGAACAATTAGGCCTTGGTAGCTTTGGTGGAAGGCGAGCTGCTGCCAATGGGCCTGCAGGGGTCCCCTATCCAGGCATAACAAGATTCCTACTCCCTGCTTCAGAATGTGAATACACTCTCAATGCAGTAGGTTTTTATTGAAACCCCCTCCTCGTAGAATGTTTATGCCCTGTAATTCTTTTAATGTTTTTTGTGTGTTTCTTTTGTAGTTGTTAGATGAGTTGGATACGGATCAGTGGCTAGTACCCCATGGGAATCGAGCCTTACGTTGCACTGGCGCAGCTTTGAGCTTGGCTTCAGGTTTGCTCAGTGCTTGTATGGCTAGTGCTGGTGCTAGAATTGTAGCATTATTGGGAGGACCATGCACAGAAGGGCCTGGAGCGGTAAGCCTTTCAATTTTCTTAGCAGTTTGTTTATTTGGTGCTTCCTTCTTTCCCTTAATTGTTTCAGATGCAAACCCTAAACATAGAGAATACATCCCATAAATTCACTATGACATTAATTGACGTGGCTTGAGAAAGTCATGTTTGCGTATCGTATAGATGATATAGATCCAAATCATCTAATCCATAATTTCTATGTAAAAAAAGTTACAATACTTTCACAATTGTTGATTGTTTTACTGATCAATTCCTTTTGGACTGTATCTTAGTTCTTTCACAATACTTTTGCAAGATTTCATTTTCTTTGACATGTGTTGGATATGATCATTGCTGAGTGCAAATCTAAAGTGAATACAGATTGATTGTCTTCTGCATGGGAAAAAAAGATTCTTGTTTTGATTATGAATTGTTAATCAAATGAATTCACCAATTTAGTACGTAGTACATGTTAAAAGATTAAGAGTAACTACAGACGGACAAAATGGATTCTTTGTACAAACTGGTGGCTATATCTCACATATCTTAACTTTTTGATGATCTCTTTCATGGCTTTGTTTGTGACAGTTACCACTTTATACAGCATGGATTAATAGTTGATAACATATCTTTTGTCTTCCGTTGTGTGAGGACACCATCTGCACAAAAACTTTATAATAGCTCTTTTCAGTTGCGATTCTCTTTTGATAACTCTCCATAACTTTCTAATTTTCTTTTATAGATTGTATCAAAAGATCTAGCAGATCCAGTTCGGTCTCACAAGGATCTAGATAAGGATGCCGCACCCTATTTCAAAAAGGCAGTGCATTTCTACAGTGAACTTGCAAAGCAGCTAGTTAGCCAGGGTCACGTGCTGGACATTTTTGCGTCAGCACTTGATCAGGTTTTTCTTGACTGACTTTTTTAATCGGCTCTATATTTGTATTCACATCCTTTTCTGGAAACCTGTAGCACATATTTAAAATGCTAGTAATCATACATACTTGTCTTTTTTGGCTTGTGCTATTCTGTGAGTAGCATTGAAGTACTCTTTCGACATTAAGAGTTACTACGTAATTCTTATACATAAGGCTGACAACAATCTGCTTATATATAAGTTGTCTTTAAGTCTATTCATATACATTGAGCACTTCTTTTATTTATACCAAAAAAGTTCACCCACCCAGTCTTTGTTTAAAATTCTAGGTTGGGATTGCTGAGATGAAAGTGGCAATTGAAAACAATCTGCTTATATATAAGTTGTCTTTAAGTCTATTCATATACATTGAGCACTTCTTTTATTTATACCAAAAACGTTCACCCACCCAGTCTTTGTTTAAAATTCTAGGTTGGGATTGCTGAGATGAAAGTGGCAATTGAAAAAACTGGAGGACTGGTAGTCCTCGCGGAAAGCTTTGGTCATTCTGTATTCAAGGATTCATTCAAGCGTGTTTTTGATTATGGTGAATTGTCTCTTGGGCTCTCCTTCAAGTGGGTATCTCTACATCATGTTATTACTTTATTTGATTGGTGTTAGCTTTTATATGGGTAGAAGGTTAAAAAATACTCCCTCCGTCCCCCTAAGATGTTCTCATTTTGACTTTTGGTGGTTTTTAAGGAGAGTTGAAAAAAGGTGAAAGTTTACCATAATACCCTTAATGAAAAATGGGTGGAGTGTATTAAATGAGGTGGGTGAGGTGTAATAAATAAAGTAAGTGGGGGTAGTTGTGGTATTTTAATTGTTAAAAAATGAAATGAGAAGATCTATTGTGGACAAAGAAAAAGGGCTATTGGGAAGATCTATGGGGGACAGAGGGAGTAGTTGTTATCGTACCCAGTGAGAAACATAAGAAACTTTTGGATACAAAGTGTTTGCTGGCATTGACAATGATCTAGGCAAGCTATAAATTAAAACTGAAGTGTGGAGTTTGTCCAAACAGAAGTTTAGAATAGCCTGACACCTTGGTTATGACAAAGACAGTTTACAATGCCAGAATCTCTATTTTGATGGCTACAAATATCACTTCAAAGAAAGCTCATAATCTCCGAACTCAAATGAAAATAGCTACGAGATTCATTTTATTGCCTTGAGAAAATGACTGAAGTTTGTGTTAGCATAAATATGCTGTCATTTGCATAGTTATTATAATTTTGCATTGATGTTTTTCAAATTTGCTTTTGTTACATGATAACACATTTCAAGTTACACTATTTTATCCAGTGGTAGACTTGAGATCAACTGCTCAAAGGACATAAAAGTTCAAGGGATCATTGGGCCCTGCACAAGCTTAGAAAAGGTAAATTTATCTAATGTTTATGAGTCCACTCAAGTGCATTTCTTTGTAATGATAATAATCACCGTTAGAAAGGTTGATAGCAGTATCTCTAATATTGACAGAAAGGATCTGCTGTTTCTAGCACAGTTATTGGTGAAGGGAATACAATAGCGTGGAAGATGTGTGGCCTCGACAAAACTACATGCTTCACTATTTTCTTTGATGTCTCATCAAGTGAAAAACCAGACCCTTCTGTCCATACCAACCAGGAATTGTACATACAATTTCTTACAAGGTACTATTTTGATTTGTAAGTTTATCCATCTATTAAGTATTCCCCCAGTCCCTAAACTAACCACACACTTTTTTTCCTTTCAATTCCAAAATAATCCCCTAACAGTTTTTCAAGCAAAGCAATATTTTGCTCATATTATCTGTCTCCTAAATAAATCTCAATCCATAGGTTGGAGTAAATTCTAGTGCCTGTATGCTTACTGAGATTTTTTGTATGTTGTAATTGTTCCTTCTTTGGGTGCCATGGTTTTCAATGAATTGATATTCTACTATTTTCATTTTGAATTCTGTACTTGATTGGATTTGCTGGAAGCTTTTCTATAATCTAGGTCTACTAATTTACCTTGATATGAACTGAATGCAGTTATCAGAGCGCTGATGGATATACAAAACTACAAGTTACAACCATAAAAAGAAGATGGGTTGATACTACTGTCAATTCTGAGGTACCAAGCCGAAGCACAATCCTCAACAATCTTTGTTTTAAAAGAGTTTATACTCTCCTCCATGTTGAATCAAACAATAGGAGGACCCTATCCTCCCTCCTGAAAAAGCTCTTTTTCAACTCCACTAGACCAATCAATTTATGCATAGCCGCATTGGACGGTCTTTCATTAAATGAATGAGCTATAATGAGTGAAAAGTGCACACAAGTGACAAGTTAGACTGTTGATTTGAAGCGGAAGTACAGAGCAAAGCATTGCTCTCTGTCTCCGTAAAACCAACACTTTACTATAATACAAATATTTTTTTTAAATTCTAACATACATATATTAATTGTATATGATTCATATTTTAAGGAAGCGATACTAAAAAACCATATTAGTCATTGTTCACTTGTAATAACCCAAAGTTATCATCGAACGTGACTCATAATAGTTGTCTTTCAACTACAATGCACGGCTTGAGAGGAGAACTCTAGTTTATGGTTTTTCATTGTTAGAAAAAAGCTTTTAACAAGTCTGATGGCTAGCTGTGAATGGTAAATTTCTTTGTTGAAGAATTAATGAAAGTAGCCTTTTGCTCTCTACCAGAAGTGATTTTTCTTTGAAACTCAGCCATTTAATAATTGGTAGGTACCTCTACTCTCTTAAAGTGCTGTTTTGTCTTTTGATACCTCCCAGTTAATCCAGTAGCAAGACTATCCCCATCTTTCAACGGAGGTTTTTTGTTTTATTTTTCCTTTAGGTTAGCTGTAGACGTGTATAATTCTCAGTATTGATAATATTTACTTTCTTGAGAGCAAACCCTCTAGATTTTTTGGTATGGTTAGCCTATTGTTTTCGTAGGAATTGGTACAAGGCTTTGATCAAGAAACTGCTGCTGTAGTGATGGCTAGATTGGCATCGTACAAAATGGAGATGGAGGTATGATAATTGCATTTATCTAACATATTGGTGAAATTATCACTTTCCGAAGCTTCACAACCAAACAAACAACAAAACCTTATCCCACTAGGTGGGGTCGTCTACATGGATCAAACAATGCCATTGCGCCCTATCGCGTCGTTTGATCCATGTAGCCAACCCCACCTAGTATCATTTTCCAAAGTTTCACAACCAATTTAACAAATTACACTTGCGCAAAAGGCTATCTCAACATTGGTATTACCATCCAACCTAGAAAAGTGATCTACCGTTTGGTTGTTGGAGCCCTTTCTATCCCGTATATCCGATTCAAATTCCTGCAACACAAGTTTCCAACGAAGGAGACTAGCCTTTGAATTATTTTTTTGAAGAAAGCATTTAAGAGTTGAGTGATATGTATATATAGCCACCTTAGAAAGAATGATGGATGACCTAAACTTCTTCTGGTGAACACAATAGCTATAAGCTCTTCTTTGGTAGTGGTGTAATCGAGTCGCGGTCACGCTAAAGTTTTGCTAGTGTTTTAAATTGATGAGAAGGGATTTTTATCATTTCCCTCAAAATGGCTTCATCTTGTCACTAGCATCAAACATAAGCTCAAGTGGCCACCCTAATATAGTGCTTCACTGAACTATTTCAGGGTATTAAAAGCAAGTAAGCATGCTTTAGCAAAATTAAACAAATTAGTGGTTTTCATGCAACTTAGTTAGAAGTTTAGCTATTTCATCGAAATTCTGAATAAAACATCCATAAAAGCCAAGGAGCCCTAAAAAGCTACAAATGGATTTTAGAAGTAGATTTCTAGTCTCCATCTCAGCCCTATCAACCTTTTCCCTTACTAGAAATTTTGTGCCTTAAAAGGTTACTCATTAACCAAAATTTGGTACTTCTCCCAGTTCAAGGCTCAGTAGGTCTGTACACACCTAATTAGTGCTTCCACCAAATTCTCAAGAGATTAACAAATGGCTCACCGCAGATAGAGAAGTCATCAATAAATAATTCTATGAAGTCCAAATTATTTTGAAAGTAGAACTAGAAGTCATGCACATCATGAAGGTGGCAGGGGAATTATTGAGAGACATCCATCCTACAAAACATAGAGTGCGAAAGGGGAATGGATATAAGCGTAGTCTTCTCTTGGTCTGCATAACAATCTGCCCTTGTTATTTTTTACAAGAGTCATTCCCAATGTCTTTGGGCCACATGTATAGGACGGGTAGCAGATTTCGTATAGATGGGGTTCAACATCCATAAGTCTCAGAAACACAATTTTAACCCTTTAACAACCTTTATCACAGTGGGATTCAACAATCAGTGTGGTTGCGCGGTTGCGCAATTGCTTCAAACCCCTCCACAACATTATTTTTTTTATTTGTGATGTGCTTAAGCTCGTGAGCAATTTTTTGCCCATCTCTTGAAGACAATAAAAAAATTCTTTCTTTGTTGTAATGATGATGTGGGCTTGTGACAATTTGCTCTTGTCATTAAGGAGAGCATACTTTGAGTGGTTTTGGGGTTTCCTATGTTCCGGTAATGTTTTTTTTTCTGGCTTCCTTGACACTCCCACCCCACCTCTGAGATTCTCCAGAGCTTCATTCAAGGCCTATTCTCTAGAGCTTCCTTTGAGGATTATTATTCTTACTCATATTCCCAAGAGCAACATTCTTACCTTAATGCTTTTTTTTTCTGGCTTCGTTGGTCCCAAGGTGGGTCTGCCCAGGCACCCTGCTTGCCTGGGATCACTTGTGAGTTGTGACCAATGGAAGTTCATTTGGATGGTTGTCCTCCCTGTGGCCCCACTTTTTGCTCTCAATGTGTCCAAGTCCATTGTCCTTGATTCTAGATCGCTCCATTGTGCATTCCAACCCTTTGAGTTGCCTCAAAAATGCTCCTAGTCACACTGAATCGCTCTCAATTTCTTTTGAATAACCTCATTTGCAATATAAAACACAAAAAAATGTATTTCATTTTGCGCTTTGTAACCTCATTGTGCTCCAAATCACATTGAGTCACCCATTATTTCCTTTTGTGGTTTGTAACTGTTTTGTTTGGTTATACCTTTTATATTAATCTATCTAAAATTGATTCCTTCCATTTTCAACAAGCACTGATGAATTAATTGTTTTTCAGGAAGGCTTTGATGCGACAAGGTGGCTAGATCGGAATCTAATACGTCTGTGTTCTAAATTTGGGGACTATCGCAAAGATGACCCTGCTTCATTCACATTAAATCCATGTTTCTCATTGTTTCCTCAGTTCATGTTTAATCTACGGAGATCTCAATTTTTGCAAGTAATCTGACATGACATAACCATTCTTTCTTTCTTTAGTTTTTTCTTTTTGCATGCATTGAAATACTGTTATATACTCCCTCCGTCCCAAAAAGCCTTTCCACGTTTGAGAAAGTTGGTATTTACAGTAAATGTACTTTGGGTGTTACTTTCCTATTTTACACCCTTTAGGGTGGGAATAAGATGTGATTGGTAGATTATTAATGAATAGGTATGATGTGATAGGTAGGTTAATAATTAATAGGGATAAATAGGTGATTTAATTGAAAGAAGAAGAGTTTGTTTTGGGACAGATGAAAAGGGAAAGGAAAAGTTTTGTGGGATTGAGGGAGTACAATTTAAAATTCTACTGCTGCACTGCTCACATATGTGTCTCTACAATAGGTTTTCAATAACAGTCCTGATGAGACAGCTTATTTCCGCATGTTGCTGAATCGAGAGAACATAAGCAATGCTGCTGTCATGATTCAACCGACGCTAACATCGTTTTCATTTAAGTCACCACCCTGTCCGGTTTTGTTGGATGTGGCATCAATTGCAGCTGATCACATCCTTTTGTTGGATTCTTATTTCTGTATAGTTATATTCCATGGAAGTACAATAGCTCGGTGGAGAAACATGGGCTGTCACATGCAACCAGAACACCAGGTATTCAATCATAACTTTGTATTTATGTGTTCAAGTTTACATTAAACTGTCTCGTCACCGTACTAACTACAGCAATTGGTTGACAAGCTTGTCCAATTTCCTAACATAGTTGGGAACCAAATTTGTTTTCACATGGAAAACATGGGCGTACGACAAACGGTGTTTTGTTAACTGTTCTTTTGCCCCCTCCTTTACATAGCTTTCAGATCTCAAAAAAAAATCTCTGTTTGTGCAACGACTGGTTGGGGATTCTCTCCTCAGTTGGTGGCTCCATCTTTGGAACTGTCAATCTTCTTAGATAAGCTACTGTCTTTTTTATTTCTTTCTTTTTTGTGTGCAAAACTGTGCCATGCCCTTGCATGAGAGAGCTGGTTCCCCTTTCCCTCTGTGCATCTGCTTTGGAATGGGAGACCTCTTGGCCTATACTTTTAGCCTTACTTTTATTGTTATCTTATTGGAGCAATATTTTCTGCAGCACGGATTGGAGTTCCTTATAGGTTGATGCTGGAGGATACCACTGTTGAATAGAGTTTCTTTCTCCTTTATTCATCCTTAATAGTATTTCTGTCTCCTTAATTCTTTGAATGGAGGACACTACCGCGCAGAAAAATAAAAGAAAGGCAACAAGTGGAATATTATAGATTTTCTTTCTCCTTGAGAAACATTTCAGTTCTTTAGTTCTTTTCTTAATTCATTATCTTTTACTGTATTCATGCTATAACCTTATTATAGAGGAGTTGTTGAAAGAATGGTTAGAAGGAGGTGATGAAAAAGGGACTAATCTCTGACGGCTCATGAAATGAATACAAGAGGGTCCTATTTGTACACATAATCTTGACTGTAAGGATTTTAATCTTATTAGAGTTGGACTAAGATCATTAAGATTAGGGTTAGACCCCCGTCATGCACCATTATTATTTTACACCCCCTCAAGCAGGACCATATACATTATTATGTCGGCTAATTGACCTGCAGCTTTGATGAATTAAAGATGCATTTTGACATGAATTTCTTTGTAATGCAATGACAATCAACTTCAATATTTTTGGTTCTTTTTGCGAAACATTGTTTAGACAATTGCTCGCAAACTGCAACTTGATTATCACAAATCAATGTCAATTTTGTTGTTTTAACATATAATAGCTCTTGGAGCAATTGTTGCTACCATATTAGGGTATATTCTTTTGGGTTGGATAAAGAGAGTTGGGTGTTACGAAGAAACTGGAAGGAGTTGGATGAAATGAGTTAGAGTTGGAAGATAATGGAAGGAGTTGGAAGAAACTAGAAAATTAGGAGTTGAAATAAATATTACGGAGTATATTTTTAAAATTTCATTTTTGTTATTAAAATAATTCATACTCCATTTGGTTTACTTTTTGTTGATTTCTAATTTTTTGTATGTTCCGCACTCCCACTAGTTTTGTCTCAACCATATTAAGTACTCTTTTTGTCCCTAAAAAATTTTCTTTGACTTTCTCGGTTGTTTAGGCAAGTGTAAAATTTTCTCTGACATTCCCATTTTACCCCCCTTCATCCCTAAAAGCTGGCAGTGCAATTCATAATACACATTATGAATAGTGACACACATCATTACACACAATGCCATGCGTAGGTCAGCCCCTAAACTACTTCCATGACAAAACCGAAAAAGTTTGGAGTATGTTTGAGTTCCCTCCAAAAGTATTCTTAATATTACACAACTAAGGAGTGCCGCCATTCTTAAAATTACACACTTAAGGCTATAAATACTCCTAAGGAGTGCCTTCAGTGCACTGCATTCATGAGCTTAACTTACTTCCACACATAGCAACTTCTCTTCTTCACTTCCACATTCTCCATCTTCGGCACTGCCGCCTTTCTTGTTTGATCTGAACACAGTTTGGGTTGAGAAGGCTGTCGGCAACGTAGTAGAACCTGTTCTGCCTCTAGCCATTGTGGTGGAAGTGTGGAACCTGTTCTGCCTCTAGCCATTCCTGACCCCGAAGTCGTCCCTCCGCTGGAAGACATCGAGCCTGCAGGTAACAATAATCAAACCAAACCTAAATGGGTCAAACTAAAGTACTAAACAATAACCAGATAAGTCTAATTCACGAGACGCTACTGCGACAATCTACAAACAGAAAACTTCAGCGGGGGTGTATTTCTAACGCTGCAACAGTGTTCAACACTTCAAAACAAACTGTTCAAAGTTATGGAGCAAAGCTAAATCTCAACAAGAAGCTGGTCAGACTGTGGATGTGAGCTGCAATTTCAAAGGTCACTCTGGTAGGCGAAGGTTAAGTATAGACATGATTAAGATGGCTGAGACTCCGTTTCATAAAAGAAAGAATATGTGTGCGCCGGGTTATGCTTTGGAGGTATCAAAATCAACCGTCCTTGGGTGGGTCAAATCTAAGCGGATAAAGAGGCATACAAATGCCATACGCCCTCTAATGACTGAAAAAGGTAAGTTGAAAAGACTCCACATTTGTTTGAGTCACCTTGTTCTCCAATCCATCCAAATAACTCCCACATTACACCATTTTTATGACTACCTACACATTGACAAAAAATATTTACCTATCGAAAGAAAGCACAAGATTTTATGCACTGCCTATTGAAATTGAGCCGTACAGAGCTGCACAGTCGAAGTCATTCATCCCCAAAGTTAAGTTTTTGGCCATAGTTGGAATACCAATATTTCGGGATGATGGGGTAGTATCGTCAGATGGAAAAGTGGGCATTTTCCCATTCACGTGTAAGCAACCAATTGGAATGTTATAAACAAAAGCCATATGTAATGTAAGTAAGAATGTGATGAAAGACATGATGTGCAATAAAATCATTCCAGCAATAAGGGAAAGTGGTCAATACTCAATAGTGAACAAAAGTGTGAATCTTCAGCGGGACAATGCAAGGCCTCATATAGAGAGGTAAATGACCAAGAGTTTATTCATCTTACAAAAAAAATTATGGCTAGAATGGAACATTCAGCTCCAATTCCAGCCACCCACCACAATTCAGTCAAGGCTAACTGGGAATCAGTTCATGATAATGGGAAATATCAATCTTGGTAGCGCCTTTCTATGTTGATTGGTTCATTCCCATGAAAAACTCTGTAATTGCTGTCTGATGTAATTACCTGGATTGAGATTCTATTGCGTGCTTTTCCAATTGCATGTCAACACTTTGTTAACTTCAAATTATATCTGTAATTTCTCCATCCTCATACAAGTTATATGCTTCATCCATCAGCCACACATTTTCTATGGCAGACCTCTTAACTATAGCTGTCTTACATGGGGTGTCAGACCGGTAGCGAGTACATTAATAAATTCTCATCCAAATCTCTGGCTTATATGTTTTTCAACTAAATGAACGCCTATTTCTTAATACATCATATTTATTCCCAGGCATTTGCACAATTATTGCAAGCTCCGCATGATGAGGCCAGGTTACTAATTCAAGAGCGGTTTCCTGTACCAAGATTAGTTGTTTGTGATCAGCATAAATCCCAGGTGATTTTCCTTCCTCTGTTGAAGTTGCAATTGTGTATATGTAGCATTCATTTGTGCAGTACGATATCGTGTGTGTCTCTACTCTTGGAAATGCAATGGTCACCAACTTTTCTCATTCAACTATTCTTGTGTTCATAATGGATCCCTTTTGTGATCCCTTGATCACTAAAAGTTTTAGAGTCGATTGTTCCTTTGTACAGAAAGAAGATAGAGCAATAATAAGTTACTGATTTTAAGGTTTACTGTACGTTAAGTCAAAGCTGCTGTGTAATCTGCATGCAGTTTTTAATTTATTGGCACATATATAGCCTCTCATCTTTTTGCCTCAATAACTGGGAAATGGTTTATCAGCATATTGAGTAAGACATCTTCAAACTATCAGTCCTGGCCATATAGTGAGACGAAATGATTATTGTTAATTGATTTGGGTTATTGACCTGTAGCTCCCTAATGAGCACATGCTTTACTGAAAGGATTTTATATATGGAGCTTTGATGGCTTTAATCCTCTTGAAATTTCTCATGCATGATTTTAATTTTCCTAATGGAACATAAATACGCAATGTTCAACAGGCAAGGTTTCTGTTGGCAAAGTTGAATCCTTCTGCAACATATAATAGTGCACATGATATGGCTGCATCCGGAACAGATGTCATCCTTACTGATGATGTGAGTCTTCAAGTATTCTTCGAGCATCTTCAGCGGCTGGCAGTTCAATCTTCGTAAGCAAAAAGAAGTGTGGATAATCGTGCTGTGACCTGTCAGTTATTCGCTCTCTAAAGCTCAACAAGTTCTAGTCATCGCCTCTACAAGCCTTTTTCTTTGCTCACTACAGAACTTTCGTACCCCATTCGTACGAATAGAGGTAAGATCCAATACTGTTTGCACTAGCAACCAAAAGTAACATTTTTTTGGGGTTTGAGGTTTATTTCGTTTGAAGAATAATTATTAATAAGGAGCACAAGGGACAGCTGATTTGAGTTTAGGGAAAGAAGAGAGACAATGTCGTATTTCCCTCCAAAGTGCCATGAAGCAAGGAGATTGTTATTTTTTCATTTTTCCTGAAATGCCATTTTCCGTTCTCTTTTTCTTTCTTTTTTGTTTTGAATTTTTAGTATGTTCATGTGAACATTTATACATCACATCATGAATCATATGATTATATGTACATTTACATTACGCGTCATCAAAATATCAAGTCCTAGCTTGAAAGTTTTCGACTGCAGATGAACAATAGTGTGGTTTTTCTTTTCACCTTTTTTGTTCCTAAAATTACATTTGCATTTCCCTCTTACAAAAGATGTTCCCTTTTACATGGATCTCAATCAAGAATCTCACCATGTGAATAAACTATTTTACAAAATACAATTTCACCCATCATGTGCCAGTCTGTAGAGACTGCTTTGTGCCATGGAAAGTGGAGTTTATGTGACATAGTGTCCTTGGACTGTCGAACCATCTCAAGGACTTCAACTTAGTTGTAACTCATCAGTTGAGGTTTTATACACATTGGGCTATGGAGTGTATATTATATAGTCGTACAGGAACTATGGTACAATTGGATAGTATTCATTTTGGAGTAAGTAATATTCATTTTTGCCTAAAATATAAGTGTTCGTTTTGGAGTACAAAGAGTACTTCTTTCAAATAACGTGGTGTTCATTTTGAACCAACGTAGTGCTAATTCTGAAACTAGTTTTCATTTTTACACATTTGTTCATCACAATTATAATACTCATTTACAAATAATGTAGTGTTTATTCTAAAACAACGTAGTGTTCATTCTCGTATAACGAAGTGTTTATCCTGAAACAACTTGTCGTTCATCCAACCAAATTATTCATGGAGAGTAAGTGGTAAGATGCGGATGTTACGATGGATGAACAACAAGTTGTACGATGGGGCTATGACCAGGGTAAGGACTTCTGGGGGCGACTCTGAGTCTTTCTCGGTAGGGATGGGGTTGCTCCAGGGGTCTGCCCTTAGCCCTTGTTTGTTCGCCTTGGTGATGGATGTCCTAACTCAAGGTGTTCAAGAAGGGGTCCCATGGTGCATGCTTTTCGCGGATGATATTGTGCTTATCAACGACACACGTGAGGGACTAAACGATAAGTTGGAACTATGGCGCCTTGCCCTTGAGACTAAAGGATTCAGAATTAGTAGGAACAAGACTGAATACATAAAATGTCGTTTCAGCGGCCGGGAAACAGAATCAGAAGTGGAAGTTAGGATTGACTCTCACCTAGTACCTAAGGTAGACAGGTTTCGTTATCTTGGCTCGGTAATCCAGGCTGATGGGAAGTTAGATGGGGATGTTGGACATCGTGTTGGAGTGGCTTGGGCCAAATGGCGGTTAGTTTTTGGGGTGTTGTGTGATCCAAAGATTTCGCACAGGATTAAAAGGTAAGTTCTATCGATTCGTAGTTAGACCTGCTATGTTATATGGGGCAGAGTGTTGGGCAGTTAAGAAGACTCATGTGCGTCATCTGCATGCGGCGGAGATGCGGATGTTACGATGGATGTGTGGGAAGACAAGGTTGGATAGGATTTCGAACGAAGTTATCTGACCTCAGGTAGGCATGGCGCCGGTGGAAGATAAGTTACGGGAAGCGAGGATGAGATGGTTTGGTCATGTGAGACGGCAGGATGTTGATGCCCCTGTACGGAGATGTGAGAGGATTATGATTATCGGGGGAAATAAGAGAAGAGGTAGACCTAGGAAGAATTGGAGGGAGGTGATTAGGCAGGATTTAGGACTTCTCACCCTTACTGAGGATATGACCTTAGATAGGAACTTTTGGAGAAATAGGATTAGAGTAGCTGTATAGGAACTCGATGCTGTAGAGGTTGTTTGTAGTATGTTGTGTTTGTTTGGAATCTTTTGCTATTGCTTGTACTTGTTGCTTGTATTTGGCTCTTTACCCGTGTTTTATTGTACTCCCTTCCATATTTTTGTGCAGATTGAGCCGGGGGTCTCTTGGAAACAGCCTCTCTACTCCCGAGCAGGGGCAAGGTCTGCGTACACACACCCTCCCCAGACCCTACTATAGTGAGATTCAAGTGGGATATTGTTGTTGTTGATTAGATTAGATCCAATCTTCATTCATCAGAATTAGGGTCTGTTCTTTAGAGCTTGAACTCTTAACTTTCAGTTTTTCCAGTTCCTTCTAATTCTTTCCAGTTTCTTCCAGTTCTTCCATTTTTTCCAGTTCCTTCCAGTTTCTTCTAGTTTTTTCCATTTTTTTCCAGTTTCTTCTAATTTCTTCCAACTATATTTATTTACTTCAAATTCTTTCTATTTTCTGACAAATCACTCTAAAAAAATATATTATTATTACACCTTTTTTTAATTACAACTTTTATGTTTTTAACTATAGTTTATAAATTATTTCAATTTTTCATCTCACTATTTTTATGATTCACATTCATTATTATTTTTTCTTCAACTTTTTAATATGAATAATACCATTTTTTGTATATTAATCTACATGAAAAATTAGGAAATTATTTAAAAAATTATGGATAAATAGTTATATAGAATATCCTTTAATCTAAATTTATATAAGATAAATATCAATATTTTAATCTAAAATATAAAGTATGAAATGTGATGGAGAGTACTACATTATGAAAGCGAAGAGAAAACTACATTTTGAAAAAGAAAAAATGACCCATGAAGTGTAATATTTATGCTAATTTTATATTCTATTTTTCTAAAACTAGCTTTGTATATATGAAAAATAATACTCGTAATATTTTTTTTATCTTAAAGATAATCATTAAGATAACGTGATAACACCACCATCACCAACAACAACAATAATTTATAACAACAAGAATAAGAATGAGAATAATATAAACTACACATAAATTTTTTATAAAACTTTTTTTAGATTTTTCAATTTCTTTTCCAATTTTTTTAATTTTTTTTAATTTTTCCAATTTCTTCTAATTTCTTCTAATTTTTCCGATTTAATCCAACATCCAACTGTTTTTTTTTGCAGTCTTACACAACATGCCCTTAGTATAGCTGTGGCCGCTAGTAATCAAAATTAAACGAATCACATTCAGCACAACTACTGCACAAGCTACAAATATCAAACATTCACCTCTCCCAACCGCACGCAGGCAGCGTACAATTGAAAATGCAACAAACCGCCGTGACCACTGCGGCTCCAACCGTATCTTCGCACACCGATTCGAATAGCTCGGCGGCAGACGCGCCACCCAAACAGGTCGCCATGGCCCTGGAGCGGCTAGGGCAGGCCGGCCGACTGATCGCGGATATCAGACTCGGCGCTGACCGCCTCCTTGAAGTCCTATTCATGGCCGCTCAGCTTCAGCACTCCTCCAGACCCGAGAATTTGATCATCAACGAAGAAGCTTCCATGCGCCAACACTTGCAAGACCTCCGCGCTCTTGGTACCTAACTTCACCTTTCATTTTTATTTTTTTTAAAAAATTAATTTCCTACTCCTAACCCCAAAACCCCCCTCCCCTAAATTTACTAGTAGCATTTAGGCATTTTGGGTTTAGGGGTAGGTACCACTTTCTGACCCAACAGAGAACCGGGGCCTGGGACTGATGTCACCTCATGACATTGAGGTTCAATGTCATTTAAACCGAAGTGTATTACTCCATATTATATTCTATTTAAGCTTAGATGTCATACACTATATCTCTTAGACTTTCAAATGTACTTGTTGCTTTAAGCTCCTTATGTACATAAGCCATGGATAATTATGGAAACATAAGAGTTTGATAAGTATAGTAATTTGCAAACAGTAAAGGTACTACAGAAATAAAAACGAGAAACTGCAAAGTGCTAACACAGTGCTAAGGTGTTGCTGAAAAGTTGTAAGGCTAGTGCAATGATTTTGTGATATTTCGGAGGATGGGAAGTTAATAAGTGTGAGAAGTTAGTTACAAACTCGCAATTCACCATTTATAGCCAAAGTAAAACTTGTCGTTGTTGCCCATTGTTTTGTAACCCAAGTTTTACTTTAGCACGTTGTTGGGCACCTTCATTTTATATACTTTAGCATGAAATTTTTTACTTATTCTGCAAGCAATTGATTTAAATCTTCTTTTAGTTTTAACATGGTACTGAAGCGAGACCTAAGTGTCTTTCTGTGATTGTAATTTTCCCACTCACTTTTTTTGTCATTCTTCTTTGCTATAACAGTGCTTATGGAGGTTTCTGCTATACCGTTTTACCCATTCCTGAGAGTCGTTTTCGAAAATTAAAATCGCCACCATGGCCTCATCCTTCCTCAACCTTTCAGTGACCTCAGCATCTGGCACTCATCGTCGTTGGAAAACCACACTAGGGCTAGTCCTATAATTGAGAGGCCCTATGCGAAAACATTGTGTGTCATGTTATCCTTTTATAGTCATTACTTATAGTTATACATAAGATAATCATATTTCATTTAATGTAAAACAATATTTTGTGTAAAATCCATGTATCGTTTTTTTAATATGTAAAAGACTAAAAGGTTTGTAAGACATTAAGACTAAACGACCTATTGGCCAACTCCTACGTGAATGTTCCATCTACATTTTTGTGCACCACTTTGTATTATGGCTGCCAGAATTTGTTTATACGTGTAATAACTTTAGAATTATATAGAACTACAACCACCATTTTATCGTTATCACATCTCGCTTAGTTGAGTACAACATCATAGTTACATATCTCATCGTCCCTTTAATTAGCTATATATATGTTTGTAAAAAAAACATGCATTTTTCCTTCTTTTAATAATATGGTATCCGGGCCTGTTTTTAAAGCCATTCTTAATTTTTGGCGTATTTTTTGTGGGAATGGTATCATTGCAACCTGCTGTTCCATATTTTTCTTAATCTCCTATAGTCCTATTTTGCTGCTGATCTTGGCCCAAATTTTGCACCAATGCCATTGTCTCTCTTAGAAGAACATGACACTACCTAACGAGTCCTTTTCCAACGACCTTTAACAATTCATTGGTTATTGGAAATAAATTTCAGAATCTATCTTTGGTTAGTTCTGCTATGGTGTATATACAAGGTATTATAAAAGCAACTGTAATCTTAAAAAAAAGATATTCAGTATAAGGGGTGGCTTTTGTGCCTCTGTCCACCACAATCTTTCTTGCGCACTACTTTTTGAATTGCAGGACCCTACATTCAGATTTTGGCATATTTGCACCAATTGCACATTTTTGAGTTCCCTAAGTAAGGTCTGTTGTATTCTTGGTCCACGACTGCTTTGTTTATTTTCTGCAAACATGACTGAGAATAAATCTGTTACTATGACTAATTTTTATAACCTTGAAATTCACTGAAAAGAAGAAAAAAGGCTGGAATCACTTAGGGTGGAGTAGAACTATTAAAATTTAAAACCCTAGAGAGAGTCTCACCTCTCTCTTCTCTTCTACCGTCCACCACTTCTTTCCTGTTTTTTGTTCTTCTCTCATCCATCATTTAAGCATTATTTACTGACTCACTTCTTCAAACCTTCCTCATATACGATAATGAGCAGCCTGAAATAGCCAATATGGTGTCATCGCTCTCGATTTAAAGGCTTGTAATTTGTGTGGGGCTTTTGTTGTTTTCAATTGTTGTTCATAGTCTCTCACTCTCTCTTCTGATTTAGTTGGATGTTTTCCTAGTTTATCTGTTGAGAGCCCGCGTGTCGTGCCCTCACCCAAACCCCGCATTAGTATGATATTGTCGGCTTTGGGCCAAGCCCTCACGGATTTGTTTTGGGAACCTCCCAAAAGGCCTCATACATAGTTATGAAAGGCGAGCACCATGCTCGCCTATGGCGTTTATGGTGGTGTGGCGAGGGTAGGACGCCTGAATTTGGCTGAGAATGGCGATGTGCCTGAGGCGAGCGCAGATCTTGCCTTTCAATTCACAATTATTTTTTTCACTAACCTTTCTAAATCGAATGGAATTGGGCTTGAGCCTGTTTCTAGTTAAGTGATCCATAATTACTTTAATCTCTGCCCGTAACCCCTACTCTTCTCACAAGTCATTAGTCGATCTTCCACTCTTCGTCTCTTCCAATCAATTCACCTTCCCTCATGCAACTCCACCTCAGTAGTCGCACAACAACAGATCACTAAGCAATAAGCATCTTATTCTTATTTAGTTTTTTGAATTTGTGTTATATATACACATATATATGTACACACACACACACACATATACTCCTTTTTTTGTTCGCCATTTGATTGCCCACCACTCGCCATGCCTGTTGCCACAAAAAATGTCCTCTCGCCCGCCACTCGCCTTTCATAACAATGGCCTCATACCTAATGAGGTTGGGTAACCATAAAAATTTTGGCTCATTCTTCCTTTTTCTTCCGGTGTAGGATTGATTTGTATCCCAACAAACCTCCCCTCAAACCAAGATTGCACAATCCCGCGACCTCCCCTTCAACAATTATCCGTTTTTGATCTGTACACCATCTTGCACCGATGCTTGCGTGACACGCCGCCCGACCTCGTCCTGTCAAGGAAGACTTTCAACACAAGGTATACTGCAGACCACCATTACGCCAAGGTCACACCATTACGCTAAGGCCACACCATTTGATCTAATAAATCATCTTGTACCGTCGTTAATACCAAACAGGACACTTCGCCCGACCACCACTTGTCAGGAAGACTTTCGATACAAGGCACCGTTTGTTAACCTTCGGTTAGGTTGTCGCACCAGGCACACCAAGAACTTCGCACAACGCAGTTTGTCACTCCAGCTTGCACAAACTTGGGCTCCGATACCACCTGTTGAGACCGCACGTGCCTTCACCCCAACCCCACATTAGTATGATATTGTCCGCTCTGAGCCAAGCCCTCACGGATTTGTTTTGGGCACCTCCCAAAAGGCCTCATACTAATGGGGTTGGGTAACCATATAAATTTTGGCTCATTCTCCCTTTTTCTTCCGGTGAGGTATTGGTTTGTATCCCAACATTGTCTAGGTCTTTACCCAATTTATTTAGGTTCGTTTCCTAGTAGTTTTTCTATCTTTCTTCTAACTTTGGTGGGTTTTGTTAAGAACAAAAGCACACACACGAATATAAAACAAGAAAGCGATAAAGAACACGAGATTTAACGTGGTTCGGTCTAATCTGACCTACATTCACAGGGGCAACTAGGGTTTGTATTATTGAGTGATAATGATTACAAGTACAGAAGATCATATATATAGACAACTAATTAGGGTTTAACCCTTGCTGGACAAGTTATAGCAAACTGGGCTTAAAACCATTTGGGCCGGCCGAAACCCTAATCTGGTCTCCTAACTCTCAGTTGTCTACAAGTGGGCCACTTTGGGCCGATGACTACACATCACCAACAATCTCCCACTTGGAGTCTTTGGACCAAACTGCGGCTTCTCTCTGTACTTCTGTAAATGAAAGATCCTCCTTGATCTTCACATCTCCCTAGTTGCCCCTCTCCTCAACACTATTCCAGGAGACCAGCTCAAGCTATGCAAAGCTTCAGCTTATCCAACACCACTGTCTTGGTGAACATATCTGCTGGATTCTTAGCACCTGAGATGTTCTTCAACTTGATTGTT